CGTGTGTGTATGTCTACATTAGCTTTCCATTTGCAAGAAAGTGGAAAAGAGTAGAAGACTCAGACGTGATTGCTTTCAAGATTGATATAATTGTGAGATGCAATCTCTACCTATTAATCCCTAAATTCCACGATAGCCACTTTATCAGTGCTAAGATGCATTGGAGGGCTACACTTTTGCGAGTGTACTCTTTGGGTATTGTACTTTATAGTTTGAAGAACTGCCCCAACCGACTAGACGAACGATGCATTCTTACTGAATTTCATGCAGCTACCGGTTTAAAGCCATGCTTCTTCATCGCAGTTGCAAGTACTCAACCTGCTTTTTACCCTTAAATGCTATCATTTGCTTGAACGAGGAACAAATTTACGAGTACACAGGGTAACGCAAGCATGCTGCAAGCTTTTCGACTCTAATTTGCTGTGGTAAATCATCTGTCTCATTTTGATTCTCTTACTGACCAATTATGCTAAAGACAACCAAGGCAGTAAGGTGGGTGACAGCATTCAGAATATACTCACTTGACTCATTACTTGGGTCGCATAGGAGTCAGAATATTACCAGGCAATTGTCGATATACTGGCACCTCTACACTGCTGCATTTCTGTCACCCACACGTCAACACGGAGCCGACAGCACTGCTTACACCAGTGCTGACCTACAGGCGAGTTGAAACCGGAGCCTGTATTGTGCGTCAGTACTTTCGAGTGTGCAGTTGCCAGTAAATTGCAGAGAAGCATGAAATGGTGGCAGCTCGTGGTTGGATAACAGCCTTATAGTGGGTAGCGCGCACAGCGGATAGGTTCTGCTGGATCAGCTCCAAGTAATAAAAGTGGTTGCAGAGATCGTGGAGGTAATCGCCATTCGACACAACACGTTAGCGTTTGTGCATCCCACGAAGTCATGTCAACAGGTGCCGCCATCGGCATTGATTTAGGAACGTCCTTCTCGTGCGTTGGCGTGTTCGATCACGGCAGGGTGGAAATCGTAGCCAACGATCAGGGTCACCGCACAACGCCCAGTTGTGTGGCCTTCACAGACAAGGAGCGTTTATTCGGTGGAGCTGCAATGAACCAGATGGCAATGAACCCCACCAATACAGTGTTCGACGTGAAGCGTCTGATTGGACGTACTTTCGACGACGAGGCAGTGCAGGATGGCATGAAGCACTGGCCCTACAAAGTTGCAAATTCAAAAGGGAGGCCTAAGATCGAGGTAGAGTATTGTGGTCAAACAAAGAGATTACTTGCTGAGCAGATCTCATCAATGGTGTTAGTGAAGATGAAGGAGATAGCAGAGGCGTATTTGGGCGAGAAGGTCACAGATGCGGTGATCACTGTACCAGCATACTTCAACGTCAAGCAACGTCAGGCTACGATTGACGCAGGGAAAATAGCGGGTCTGCATGTGCTGCGTCTCATCAACGAGCCGACTGCAGCTGCCATTGCATACGGTTTGGAGAGGAGGGACAAGAGGCAGTGCAATGTGCTCGTCTTCGATTGGGGTGGTGGCACCTTCAACGTGTCCATCCTGTCCATCGCAAATGGCACATTTGAGGTGAAGGCAGTAAGTGGTGACACGCACCTGGGTGGTGAGGACATCAATT